TTGTATAAAGTGAATTTACCTAATGGAATCATAAATAATATTATTGATTATTCAATGGATGAAGAAGATGTATGTAGAACTTGTAGAAGATGGACACGATATCAAAATATAATGGAAAATGTTTGGGAGATTCAAAAATAGATGAAAGAAATGTAGAAGATGAAATCTTGATATTTCTAACTGTGTATGAAATACAACCTTATAGTTATGTTAGAGCATTTCTGAAAATCAGTAAGAAAGAATTTGAAATGATTGACAGAATGTTAAAGATGTTGACTTATTATAGAAGGGAAGGGTTTGATGAAAAAGAAGACATTAAATCATATATTGAAAGTAAAAAGTTTAATGTTAAAAATACAGTGAGAGATATTAATATTATTATAAAAATGATGTATGAAAGAGGTAAGACTAATAGTCATCAATTAAATTATTTTCCTGAACTTAAATTATAAATTACACCATAAACCTTACAATTTAATTTTTATTGTAAGATTTATGATTTGGATTTATAGATTTAGTTTCAAGGAATATTGATTATATTTTCAAGGAAGTTTTACTACTAAAACTAGTATAAAGAAATATTAACATTAAATATTAGTTATGGACTGGATGGATTATAACTACAGAAGAAATGCTATAATACCTGAAAAGGAACTGGTGGAACAAAAATACGATTATCATTGTAATATATGCCTTTACTGGAAAAAAGTGAATGATTTTGGAAATAAAAGCACTGGACGGATTCATAAAAATTGTAAAAGGTGTAGAGAAGTAAGGGAAAAAGCAAGTATAAAAAGAAAAGAAAGACAGCAAAATAGAACAGATAAGCATAAAAGAAATTTAGAAATGAAACATGCAGAAGAAAATTAACATTATTTTTTATTAATAGATATTTTACATAAAATTGTATAAGGTTAATATGTAGAATAACTTCCTAACCTTATATAATATTTCAATGAAGTAAAATTATTTTCAAGGAATTAGATAAGGTTAATGAACATTAATAATGTATTAACCTTATTTAATATTTGAATTATAAACCTATATTTTTGATTGTGGTAAGTTGTTATGAAATTTATTTTACTTCGCTCAATATATGTTCTGTATTTTTTCCCCCAACCCCCCCGCCTTTTTCCCGGAAGCATTGCGAAGGGTTCTTCTTCTAAAAGCGGCTGCAAACTTCACCTGCCAATTTCTCATGCCAACTTGTCGAGAGTTACTTCACCTGCCAACTTCTCATGCCAACTTTTCAAGAGTTATTTCATCTGCCAACTTCTCATGCCAACTTTTCGAGAGTTACTTCACCTGCCAACTTCTCATGCCAACTTTTCGAGAGTTACTTCACTGCCAACTTCTCATGCCAGCTTTTTGAGAGTTACTTCACCAGCCAACTTCTCATGTCAACTTTTCGGGTGTTATCTCATTATCCTAAAAACACAAGCTAACATTTCTTTTCTACCTTCACGTCTCGACTCTTAATTCTTCTTCTTTTTCTGCCCGACGGGAGCTTACGAAACGTACCCTCTGCGGAGATCGTGCGTGTCGAAGCGCTCTCGCTGTGGCGCCGTGCGAATTTGTCTTGACCGCGGCGAACCCTCTGCGGGGATCGTGCGTGTCGGATCGCTCTCGCTGTGGTCCCGCGCGAATCTGTCTTGAGCCCGATGAACCCTCTGCAGGGATCATGCGGGCTCACGGACCTGTCCGGGTCGTTCGCCCGTTCGTCTTCTTTAAGTTGGCGATGGCGTCAGAACTTTGGGCTTTTTTGTCGCGACCCTTTCCACGTGCCGACTTCGAATCTTCTTCTTCCGCAACCCACCCCTTCTTGTGCAACTCTTTCTTCCTCTGTTTCACACCATTGTTGATAGTTGGGCTGGACTGTCACCTCTCCGTCGGCCAGTGGAATTCTTGTCTGGATCGTGATGCCCCGCTCCTTCATCTTGACAAACTTTTTCCATTCTTGGAGCGAAGGGACAAACTTCCATTCCATGATTGTTCATCAAAAGGAGGTCTGGATGGCCAGTCAAAAGCTATGTACTTGCCACCCCCTGACTTGATCCAGGTTCGGCTGGAAGAAAGAATACGTCTTGACGTCAAAGCATGCGCCGATGACGAGGTGGACTCACTTCTAGTTGGTTTTTTGGCTTCTATGTCTTCCAGTTCATTTTTTGCTTCTGGCTGGGCTTCTGGTTGCTTCTAGCCATCTTGCGTTGCAGAAACGCAGCCACACAGCAAATTGTCGAGGAGCTTGCCTTCAAGCTCGCAAGCCATCTCGGGTCGAGCTCCAGAGGCAAACCTGGCCGTGAAGAAGCCGCTGAAGCGTCTGCGCAATGCCAAGCCGGAGCCAACTCTCAGACGCTGCCGCCGCTGCGCAACTGGCGCGCCGTCGCAGTTGCACAGAAATTTGCGCGCAGCGTTCTTGCAGTGCAGCTCAGCGCTGCAAGTGGCAGCAAACATTGGCGCTTACTGCGCTGCGTCGCGCAACCTTGCGCAGTAGTTGCTGGTGGTGTTTGCGCAATTCTCTTAAAGCGCTGCTTTCGGCGCGCGACCTTGCAGCAAGTTGCTGCTGGCGTTTGCACGCGCAGCATGTTGCAGCCTTGTTGATTGCCTGCAAGGGCAAGTCGGTCTCTGTTACGACTTGCCTGCCTTGCTGGCGAGGCGCAGATCTGGAGTTCGGCGCGCATGGGCTTCTCGGAAACTCCGCGTCGCAACGCTGCGTTCTCTTCACCGTGCAAGTTGCGAGCTTCGCTGCCGGAGCCCTTAGGCGCCTGACAGTCACAGGGGCCGCTGGACTGCGAGTCTCAACTGCACCTTCACCGCCACAAGCCGCGGCGTGTCGAGCCGGCAACGTGGTCTGTGGCACGGGCATGCGCTCACCCTCTCTCTTTAGAGGGGATTCTCCAAACGAAGGATTCGAAAGCTAAAGTGCTGCAGAGCCCCGTGCCTGCGCTATATCGACCCCTAGATATGCTTGCAATTTGCCCCGTAGCTGCGTTTCTGCAAGGCAGGCTTTTAAAAACCAGGGAAAAAAGGAAAAAGGGTTCCGGGAAAAAGGGTTCCAGAAAAAGGGTTTCCTTTGAGGGCAAGCCTGCCTTGCAGAAACGCAGCTACAGGGCAAATGGCCACCGCATATCTAGGGGTTGATATAGGCAGGCACGGGGCTCTCTGCAGCACTTTAGCTTTCGAATCCTTCGCAGGACGAGGTCGTTTGCGGCATCAAAACCCGTTTCAAAAAAATCCCCTCTAAAAAAAGCAAGCGTTTGTTCAACATTGATCCAGGGTTGACTCAATATTGGCTCAATAATGGCCTGGTATCGAGGCGTGCACGCCAGCCTGCAGTGCAGGTCGGAATTCTATCCAGCGAGTTTTCTTGTTAGACGCATTTGCGGAGATTTGTACGTTGTAATGGTGGCATCCTTGAGTGTCTTGAGACTTTCCCACATTTGTTCTTTGCCGTACTTTTTCAAAAACGAAGGGTGCAACTTTGAGCAGAATAGTCCCATGATATGAGTCATGTCAACGTACTTCTCGACAGTCGTGTGTTGATACGAGTGAGGCAACTCATTTGGATCAAATCCTCCGCGTGTCTCCTTCCGGATATTCTTCCACCGACCCATGGAAACATCAAGAGGACGATACTACGACGAAGTTGTCGATGCCCCCAAGTTCCGAAATGTGAGATTCCGAAGCGTGAGCCAGAGGGATGAGGAGATGTTTAATTGGTTCCTGAAACTGAAAGGGTTATATCTGATGTATCGGATTTGGACTGCGTGCAACATCCTTGGTCTCAAGGCAGAGCAGTTCAGGGGCATCACCCATCAGAAGGACACCGCGTTCGTGGGTGACATGATTTTCCGATGTATCGTTCTCGCGTTTAACTGCGATTATATGACCTTTTGCAGAACAGATGCGCACATTGGCCGCAAGTTCCTGAAGATTGACCTTGCCGCCATGATCTGCGTGCAAGGAGTCGAGAGGTAGCACATTCTGGCAACAGCAGTTGCCTCATTGTCAGTCCATTTTGTTGCATGTGTCACATGTTGCATCCGCAATAGGCTGCAGCTCAAGCATTGCCTCTAGGCATTTGGTAGTTTCACCAGCAAGCTGTGCATGGCATGTTCTTTGATCTTTAATCCTTTGCATTGCAAGTGCATCATTGCATGAGAATGAGGAGCAGACAGACTCCCCCAAGCAAGGCACGAGAGAAAGGGGCGGTCGCATCAAGAGACTCGGTCATGCTGACCGCTAAGCCTGTGGTTCGAGGCCATGCACCAAGTTTCGACTTGGTAGCGGAGCAGCTGCATAAAGATCCTTGGTTCCTACGCTGTGGTGCGTTCTGTTGCAGGCGGTACTGTGGCTGGGTTTTCGCATTGGCTCTGACGTTGTCTGTAGGCATCGGTTTGGTCCTGGTATGGGATCCTCCTTATGCGGTGTCGGGGCACAAGCCAAACACCACGGAGATGCTTGGCAGTGCAACTTCGCGGACTCAGCAGAATGCCGCGGCTGCAGTGGAACGGCTGGAAGCAGTGCAGGATGCGCTACATGCAGATGCAACTCCTGAAGAATTACTTCACAGACTTGATCGTTTGGGTTTGTTAGACGAGCAGATGCAGGGGCAGATGCTGAATCTACAGCAAACGCTTGCAGCGTACAGTTTTGCGAATGGAACGCATCAATCACCGGAGGGAAACGCATCTTCCACATCTGTTATAGCAGTGCAAGTGCAGCAGCTGTCACAGAACAGTTCGTGGGAGAACTTGACGGCCGAAGCAATTGACAGCAGGCAATTCGTGTTTTCGGGCAACTGGAAATTCGATTTATTCCGATTTGCTCATCATGGTGGCGACGCAGCATACATGATGAGGCCCATGGCCACTGCTGGCAGGCGCATGCAGGCAAAAGCGTTTGAGACGGTTCGGAATTCGTTTGCGCAGTTGAGCAAGAGCTGGCGAGTGGTTTTGATTCTGATCTCAATAGCTGGCGCATGTGGTTTGGTGTTTTCTATGAACGCTGGACCTTGGGGACGTCAAGGGCCTCATCCACCGCAGCAGCACCAGCGGCAGAACGTGCATATAGGGGATGCCGGTCCCCCATTTGTGGGAACGGCTACCCTAAAGGTTCCACCAGCTTGGGCAGCCGAACGTGCGCACTGGTATTCTTTGCGAAGCTGGTTGAGTGACCTAGTATTATGGGCATCAGCCACGGACCTTGACCCGGTCAGGCAAGGCCCTGTCGCAGCTTTGCAAATCACTGGCGCAGCGCGTGAAATCGTCCGTGAAATTCCTCCGCAACATTTGCGTGACGGTGTGCAGGATCCTCAACAAGGACACATCCCTGGCCTCATGCTTTTGGCTCGTGCACTTACCGATCGGTATGGTCCACTGGAATCTGAAGTGGCAACGCGAGCTATTAGTGAGCTGGTCACGTTTACACGCATGCAAGGGGAATCGGTAGATGCACTTCTAGTTCGGTTCGAAGTTTTGCGTGTACGAGCTCAGCAACGTGGAGGTTTGGGAATCAACGCGCAAGGGCTCAGTTGGATGCTGTTGAACGCACTACGCCTGCCTCCCGAAATGTGGGATCGTCTTTTGCTGGCAAATCAGGGCATTCTCCTGCAAGATGAGCAGCAGCTGGCCGCACTGTGTGACAGGATTCGCAGGACTGGCCATTTGTTGGAGGGTGGCTATCACCGACATCCCGAGCAAGGTGCCACAGGTGATCCTGGTCATTTTGCAACTGCTGGAAATGGGTTTTTTCCGGTGTTTGCAGCGTCAGATCAAGATCATGGAGCCATGCTTATTTTGGCGATGACGCCCCATCAGCAGCAGCAGGTGCGGCTTCCAGTGGTCTGGACCGGGTCACCGGGGCAGCAGGCGGTATTTCCTATTACGAGCAGCAACGCGATGACCGCTGCAACACATGTGGCATGTATTTCGAAGATGATGAATTTTCAAGCGCAACGGATACCGACGATGGCGTATCTGATCCCGAAGCCGCTCAAATTTATTATGCATTCACAGATGAGGCATCCATGGCAGGTGAGTTGTATCACAACTACCTCGTGGCCAAGAGACGATGGCGGCGTTTCTCTGGGAAGCCACCAAGGCGATACAGAAGGTCGTTCTGGGATGATCAGCGCAGAGATCGACAAGCTCAGAGACTGCAGAGGTCGCCCTATGGCAGAGTCTATGCGAGCTTCCTGCCGAATTCCGCATTTGCAGGCAACAAGGGGGCAAAAGGTGGAAAAGGTAAAGGAAAGGGAGGTGCTCGGAATCCCCGTGGAAAAGACGGCAAAGTTCTCCTGTGTTCAAAGTGCGGGAGTGATCAGCATTTGTGGAGGCGATGCCCGCAGACCACGGGAGGCACGGCTCCGGCAACAGCCTCTCCACCGGCCCTGGCCATGTTGGCGGGTGTGGGCTCGGGCAGCAGTGCTCTGGCTTTGACGGCTGCGCAGTCAGCGTTTCCTGGGGTGACTTTCAACTACATGTCACAAGCAGCGGGTTCGATGCGATCTGGATCGTCGGTAGCAGGTGGCAGCGCATATGATGCAGAGTTGGAAAGCCTTCGCAGTGTGTCCACGGTTCGCAAGAGGGCCGAGGGCGATTCGACCTACACACCCAGCAAGCTGGCCCGTGAGAGTTTCATGCAGAACCCCATCATCGATGATGGTGACGATGCTGGTACGGCGGCAGATGACGAGGAGGAGGAGCTCATCCCAGACAGCGCAAGCAATGTTGGTGCGCATCCCTCATCAGTCAATGCCGCGTCAACGGCATGGAACATCAGTCAGGCAGCGCGTGGTTCGAGCAGCAATCAAGACCAGGGAGAACGCGCCGAGCATGCCCGACGAGTCACGCTTCAGCTTTCCGAGCTTCTGGGCGGCGCAAGCTTTGGCACGGGCGCGCAGTTTTTTCCATCGCGTACACATGGGAACTACCCATGGTGGGATGGAGCGAGTGGCCCCGATCAACCACAAGTTTTCCATGCACGGACACGGATTGATGGACGTGTCGGTCTGCTGGTGGACACTGGTGCTCATGACAATTTGGTTGGAAGCGTGACACTGGATGATCTGCCAAAGCAAGTTGGTGCCCAGGCTCATCAGCGTAATCTGGATCGTGTTTTGCCTGTTTCAGGCGTGGGAAAGGAGGAGCAGAGAGCCACGCATTCTGGGCAAATCGATTGCAGATTCGCTGACGCGCAGGGCACTTTGCAAGTGGGCAGCTACACAGCGCCGGTCATTGGTGGCTCAGCTTTACCTGCACTTCTGGGCCTACGTTCTCTGCGCAGCAAATCAGCCATCGTTGACACGGCCACTCCGGCTTTGATCCTGGCGGGCCCAGGTGGCATTGAGTTCAAGCTCAGTCCAGGAAGCAAGGTGCACAAGTTACTGCTGAGTGATAGCGGTCATTTGATTCTCCCTGTGCACCATGTGGCAGATGATGGAGCTCCAACAGCAACGGCAGTTGGATCTCTGGATTTCATGATGAAGTGCAGGCATTCCAAAGACAATGTGACGCCCAAGGAGAAGGCAAGCAGCAGCAGCAGCAGCAGCAAGGCTGGCGCGAGCTCTTCGGAGCGTCACTGACCGAAGCATGACGAGATGCAAGATGAATTCAAATGCATGGACAGGCCGCAAATGACGCAATATCAATTTCAAGGTTTTGCTGAGACCGTGGTCTGGGTGCTGAGCGATCAGTCGGGCTTGCGGCAGAGCATTTTTCTGAGTCATAATTGCAAGGTGAACAGTGTGCATCACGATTTACATTCTCGTTCACATGCAGATTTTCTCAGTCAATCCCTGTCGTTGTGCAGCCCTGATGTTTTGTGGATACGTCTTCATGGACCTGGTGCAGGTACGGGGAATAAGCGTGACTGCAACCGCACAGGTTTTCTGGTGAGACTAGCACAGGAGCATCTTGCGCGTGGAAAGGTGGTGTTGGAGGCCAACGTTCGATCTCTGTTTTGGTCGTATCATTCAGTAGCAGCACTGAAGGTTTTTTTGCAAGAGACGAAACATCGCTGGTGTCGTTATGAAACATCTAGCAACGATGATCCCTGTCAAGCGATCACGCAACTGTGGTCCAATGTGCAGCTGGGCAGTCGTGAAGATTGTCACTGTAGCAATGGACGTGTGCATGTGCATTTGAAGCAGCTGACATTTGGGCATCAACGGGCTCGTGAAACTGCGGTATTGCAGAGCTTAATTGCAGGTGTTCTGGCAAGCGACACGGCTGTCTTTGCGGATAAGGCAGGTGCTCAGAACAGGCAACCTGAGTCGAGAAAACAGAGCTGGCCACAGAGCAACACTCCAGTTTCGCGTGAGAAAAGGGTGCAGTTTGACACACATGAGTCTGGTGATCGGATCGGTGCTTCGGAACCTGGAGTCGGTGGAATCCGAGTTTCGGCTTTGGTGTCGCAACAGACCACCAGAGCCACGCAGCAATGCGATGACACGTTTCATGCCTTAAGCACAACGAATCCATGTGCCACTGCAACTTCAGACAAGGTTGGAGCGAAGACTTCACTCTGTTTTGAAAATGCAGCTGGGATCAACTTAGCTTTCCCCACGGAAAATGCAGAACGACAGAAGCAACGCAAGAAAGCGGGCTTGAAGGTGAAGCCACGTGAGAAGGAGGTGGAGCAACACCAAGACGATGTTGGAGAAGACCTTCGCAGTCTTGAGCTGGACGATAACCCTGAGCGGACGGAAGCGCTTTTCATGCAGCAGGCAGATGATGAATATGCGGTCTTCGCAGCCGTCGACAGTGCAAGAGCGGGTTTGTTGGTGCCGAGTGATGAGCAATCCACGTATGGGACGCAGACAACTGCGCAACTTGCATGGTATTTGGACAATGGGTTTCCTTTGTCAGCGCAAGTTGATGTGTGTGAGCTGTTTGGTGGAGCAGGCGGCACTACAGAAATATGCATTCGGAAACACGGCTTGCAGGGTGGTCAGAACTTTGAGATGAAGTTTGGTTTTGACCTGAGCAAAGCCGCCGACATTGCTGTTCTGTGGAGGTATTTGCGAGAGCATAGGCCACGTGTCGTGATAATGTCACCGCCTTGCAGGGGTTTCGGGCCGTGGCGGTTTTTGAACCGTGTGATACACCCTCAATCTTACGAATTGGCTGAATCTGAAGGTCGTCAACTGGCAATTTTGTGCGCAGAGGTTGCAGAGTTTCAATTGCGACGAGGAAGTCACTTTGTCATTGAGCAACCTCGCGGCAGTGCACTTTATGACTTACCAGCATGGCGAGCGCTCTCGGATCGCTGTGTCAGATGTAACTTTGACCAGTGCAGATTGGGTTTACGCGCGAGAGTTTATCCGCATTTGCCTTTGCAGAAACCAACAGAACTGCTTGCTTCATGTGCGGAACTTGTTACACATCTGGCAGGTCTCAAGTGCAATGGTGATCATGCTCATGGAAAGGTGAACTATGACGCCGCGGTCTGGCCTTATTCGTTCTGTCGTCGCTTGGCGCGCGGAGTGGCAGACACAATTCTAGTGATGCGTGAGCAAGAGCAGCGAGTCCAGCAATCGTTTCCGACGTACAGCTGTCCAGGATGCCGTGGTCATCTTCGAAATGATGACCCGAAGCATACGAGAGATGAAAACTGTCGGCATCCATATGTGACTGAAAAGCGTTGGACGTGTGATGGATGTGTGCGAGAAAGGCCTAGACATCACGAGTCACACGCTCTGGACGTGACCTGCAAGTGGACAGTGGCTCAGTTTCGCGAAGGGGCAGGAAAACCTCGCACAGGAGCTCATCCACGTGATCCAGCAATCAAGGCAAGCGGAGAGCCAACAAGTCGCATGAGACTGCCGGCCCCGTCGAACACAGAAGGAGTGAAAATGGACACCGCTCAGCCAGTGTCAGAAAACATAGGGTCACACCCTGAGGCTGCGTCGTCTAGACCGTCAGCAGCAGTGAGGCGAGCAGATAAGGCAGAATCTGGACCCGTGGTTAGACGAAGGTTCGTGGATGCTGAAGCTCAAATCAACATTCCTGAAGGTGCCGGTGGACCAGATCGTATTGCAGAGGAGCCGCAGTTGGCTGAACAGCCAGAAGGGCGAGAGGTTCCTTGGACTAGACATGATCTGGGCGCGGCTCTGCAGCATTTGAGGTCGCTCAGGCCAGGAGTGGTGAGACGCGCGTTGAGACGTCTGCACATTCGTTGGTATCACGCTGGCGCCAGACGCATGAAAGATCTTCTCACTGCGGCAGGTGTGGATCCTGCAACGGTGCAGTTGGTCGATGAAGTGGTATCTACCTGCTCAATCTGTCGCATGTGGGTTCGTCCGGGGCCAAAGTCAGTCACTTCGACAAGATTGCCGCAGCGTTTCAATGAAACGGTTGAATACGACTTGTTATTTGTCAAGCGATATGTGATTCTTCACATGATTGACACTTGCATCAGGTGGAGCGCAGGAAAATTGGTGTTCGGGCGTGACTTCGACTCCCTGAAAACTGGAATGTACGACATCTGGTTCAGCAAGTTTGGCTATCCGCAGGAGCTGGTCGGTGACAAAGAAGGAAGTCTGGACACTGAAGAAGCCGCAGCTCATTTCGCCAAGTTGGGTATTAAACTCACGCTGAGGGCACGCGGGCAACACGCTGGAATGGTTGAGCGCCACAATGAACTTCTTCGATCTCAGTTCCACAAGGTTGAAGGACAAGCAATAGCCGATGGCTTGAGAGTGGACGTGTCGGAGATGCTCAGCGAAAGTTTGTTTGCGAAGAACGTGCTGTGTGTCGTGGGTGGTTATTCACCCTATCAAGCTCTGTACGGTCGTACCCCCCCAATTCTGGATGTGTTATCGGAAGAAGCGCCGGAGTCCGATTTTTCACACTGGAGGTTGAGGCAGATTGCGGTTGAAGCAATGATACAAGCCACAGCAGAGCAGAAGGCGAGTCGAGCTGAGAAGAGCAAGAGCAGACCCGCTGGTGAACTTCAAGGCTTGGCGGCTGGTGACCAGGTTGAGTTTTTCAGGCCATCAACTACGAAGGATCACAGCGGATGGCATGGTCCAGCACTAGTTGCAGACGTCACTTCTTTGAGTGATGGGGTGATTTCGGTGAAGTGGCAGTCCAGAATAATAGCCTGTCGAGTGCAGGATGTCAGGCGTGCGCTGGTTTACCTGTGTTTGCACAGCAGTTATGTGGCGGACTCCCCCATCGACATCCTATTCTCTGCAGCAGAACGAACAAATTCTGATGTGATCAGGGTTGGATGGTTCAAGCAAAATGGTTCCTGGATTAGCTGTGAAGCAAATCGGCACTATGGCAAGGTACTTTTGGCTGGACTATATGTTTCTGCGTGCTGTTTGCATCTTGATGGGGTGGTCAGTTTCCGATTTGGACGCCACGCACGAGGACTTACAGCCGTTGCCTGTGATGACTCCTTGGTGCTGTGGTGGGAAACTGGAAGACGCGAGTGTTGGTACAACGCTTTCGTTTCGGGCGCGCAGTATGTGAATTTTGTCCGGCTGGCAGGCGGACGAGCAGTGGACATGTCGTTTGTGCAGTTCTTCATGATGGACAGCGAAAGCGTGCGAGAAGTGCGAGGCGATCGTGATGACGTGCCCAACCTGGGAGGTCCATATGAACCCAGACTGCCGCGACTATTGCCAGTCAGTGTGACCGATACCGTACTGTCGCCTGCGCGACGGCGCGCGCGAGCAATTGCAGATGTCTCAGAAACAGATCCGATCAGGAATGACAGCAGCGTGGCGCAGAGCAGTGGGGATGCTGGAACTTCGGGGGACCACGGTGTTGAATATCCAAGGAATTCGGTTCAGCCTGTGGAACCCACTCTTGCAACTTCCGAAGATGCTGTGTTCCTGATATCGAATGATCAGCAGCAAGTGGAAGATGATGACGAGCCCGCAGAACTTGTTTTCGATAGAAGCAGTTTTCATGGGATCAGCGGTGTCAAGCAGAAGCTGCATTCTGGTTGGGAACTCGTTTTGCACTATCATGTCAAAGAGCATTCGGATCCTGTCATTCAGCGAATCAACAACATTTTAACCCGTGAGGAGGCGCTGGAAAATGCTGACAAATGCAGGGTTTCCATGATCAAGGAGCTCATGCGTCGGGACAAGCATAAGGCTTGGGAGCGGCGCTCTTTGCGAGGCGCTGACAATCTGTTGCGCAGCAAGTGGGTCTTGAAGTGGAAACAAATCAGCGGCGTGCGAGATATAAAGGCACGGATGGTGGTTCAAGGCTTTCTTGATGCGCAACCAGTGTCCGCGTTTTCTGGCACCACATCGCGATGGGGTCAGCGTTTGGTGGTCATTGCTGCCATTCAGAACTCCTGGAGCCTTCACTCTGCAGACGTTTCGGAAGCTTTTTTGAGGGGCATCACCTTTGCAGATCTCTTTGAAGAAGATCCAAGCAAGCCCAGGCGACGTGTTCAGTTGCGGCTCCCGCCGGGTAGCGCCGAACTGATCAGAAGTTTGCCGGGCATGGAGACCTTTGATGAGCAGACGGAATGTTTGGAGATGCTTAAGCCGGGCTTTGGATTGAAGGATGCGCCGCGTCTATGGAACAAAGCGCTGAGTCGTGTCTTGCGGAAGGCAGGACTTTCCCACCTGCAGACTGATAAGCAACTTTATGCCAAGCACGAAGGTGGCAAATTGATCTTGCTGGTGTCAGTGCATGTGGATGATCTGAAGATGACGGGAGAAGATGATTCCGTACGCAATTTGATCAAGTCTCTGGAGGTTGAGTTTGATGAGCTCAAACTGGAGAAGGACAACTTTGAGCATTTAGGTTTGCGCCATGTTTTGGAACCCGATGGTTCTCGTTCAATCAGTCAGGAACACTATGTCAAAGAACTTCGTGGAATTCCAGACGCGGACTTGCGGTTGTGTCCGGACGAGTTGGTGAACGCAGACGTGGCAGCACGTTTCAGTTCACTTCTTGGCGGGGTCGCGTGGACAACGCAGACACGGCTTGATATTGCAGTATTTGTCTCAGCTCTTCAACGACACTTGCGCGAGCCTTTGGGCCGTCATGTGATTCATTTGAATCGAATTCTCAAACACTTGCAGAGCAAGCCGCTTAAGATTGTGTACCGCAAGTTGGAGCAACCGTGGCGCATGGTGGCAATTTCTGACAGTAGTTTTCGCGGTGAAGATCAGACTTGTTTGGCCATGCGGAGTGGCATAGTGGCTTTGACGAACAAACAAGGTGTGCAGCAAGGGGCATTGCCTATGCAGCTTCTTGAGTATGTCAGCAAGAAACAAACTCGAGTCTGTCGTAGCACGTATACTGCAGAACTGTTTTCGGCTCTTGATTTGGTTGGAATGGCAGTCAACTTGAACTTAGCCATCACTGAGGTGCTGGAAGGTGCAAGCAATGCTTCAACCATGGCAGATCGTTTGGAGCAGGGCGGTTTAGCGCTGAATTTGGATTTGATTATCGATGCTCGAGCAGTGTTTGACAGCATCGCCGCTGAAGATAACAAGACTCCGAATGATCAGCTGATGTATATCCACGCTTTGAAACTGAAAGAATACTTGCAACGACAGCAAGTGTCTCGCATGGTTTGGGTAGACACGAGGTGCATGTTGGCAGATGGCTTAAACAAAGGCAGTGTGTCCCGGGATGCAATTAGAGATCTTTGCATGCGATCATGCTGGCAGGTGGCATATCCACCCAAGATTCATAGCGAACGCAAGATTTTAAAGGCTGAGTCAAACTCTTGATGGCAGGTGCTCTGCAAAGCAGATGAACAGGCAACCTGAGTCGAGAGGTAGCACATTCTGGCAACAGCAGTTGCCTCATTGTCAGTCCATTTTGTTGCATGTGTCACATGTTGCATCCGCAATAGGCTGCAGCTCAAGCATTGCCTCTAGGCATTTGGTAGTTTCACCAGCAAGCTGTGCATGGCATGTTCTTTGATCTTTAATCCTTTGCATTGCAAGTGCATCATTGCATGAGAATGAGGAGCAGACAGACTCCCCCAAGCAAGGCACGAGAGAAAGGGGCGGTCGCATCAAGAGACTCGGTCATGCTGACCGCTAAGCCTGTGGTTCGAGGCCATGCACCAAGTTTCGACTCAAGGTACAAAGGAGGTCGACAATCCTCTCATTCAATGGTGCCATTATCGCAGTGTACATCTACCCTCACGTTATATCGACAAGATAAATCGGTCCGACGAGCTCGCAGGATCTTTGTTGGACAGGTTCCGATGGGCAAGCAGAAAGGCAATTACAACATCTTCGCATTGGTAATCACGCATTTCCAGTGGGTGCGGATTTATTTTTGGATTTTTTCGTGTTTTTTCTTTTATTTTTTCCGTTTTTCGTCCGGGCCAGTAAAATGTCGTATTTTTACAGCATTTTCTCGCGAAATTGACGCATTTTACACTAGCCCGTCAGCCTCCCCAGCATCGTTTTCAACACCCCCGCATCATCACCAACAAATGGTGGGTAACAAAAGTAGCTGGCGGGTTGGGTCAAAAAAAAGAATGCTTCAAACAAGAGGGCATTTCAACCCCAGAAAAGAACTATAAAAAACTATTAAAAAAACTAGAGGATTTTTCCCCAGGTGCTCATCCAGCCGCGGAGACACCTTTTTACATCGCTGCGGCGAGCGTGTCCGCGCGCGGCGATGCCCAATGTGTATGGTCGCATGAGAGCTCCATCTCATCGTCCTACGAGAAGAAACATGGCAGTGCTCGATCCCACATATTTACATCCGTTAAAACAAGAAGAGTAAAGCTCGTAAAGCTTGAAACGAATTGCAAGCAAAAGGAAAAGCAATCAATAGCAAAGCTTACACGACGGCCACAGTTTCTGCAAAGCACGCTCGCGCAACTTAGCTCTGTGCTCTGTGAGAGTTGGGTCTACGCAAGCTACTTTTCGAGAGTGGCTCTGCGCAACTGGCTCTGTGCAAGTTGGTTCTGCACGAGTCTGCTCGGCGCAATGTGCTTTGCACGAACTGCGCCGCGCGATTTCTCACGAAAGTGGTCTGCGCAAGCTGCATTGTTCCAGGCTGCGCGCAAGTTGCTCTGCAAGCTGCTGCACGCAAGCGCTCTATGCAAGTTGCTCTGCGCAAGTGCTCTGAGCAAGTTGCTATGCGCAAGTGCTCTGCGCCAGTTGCTCCGTGCAAGCGCTTTGCGCATGTGCTCTGTGCAAGTTGGTCTGTGCAAGTTGCTCTGCGCAAGTGCTTTGTGCAAGTGCTCTGTGCAAGTTGCTCTGCGCAAGTTGCTCTGCGCAAGTGACTCTGCGCAAGTTGCTCTGAGCAAGTGCTGCCGGCTGTGGGAATGTACTTCGCGTACTGTTTTTTGTAATTAAAAGTTGCGATTTTCCAGCCGGAGCTGCGGGAGTGTGCTCCGCGCACTACGTTTGTACTTAAAAGTTGCGATTTTCCAGCCGGAGCTGCGGGAGCACGCTCCGCATACTACGTCTGTACTTAAAATTTAAAGTTGCGATTTTCCAGCCGGAGCTGCAGGAGAACGCTCCGCGTACTACGTTTGTACTTAAAAGTTGCGATTTTCCAGCCGGAGCTGCGGGAGCACGCTCCGCATACTACGTCTGTACGTAAAAGTTGCGATTTTCCAGCCGGAGCTGCAGGAGCACGCTCCGCGTACTACGTTTGTACTTAAAAGCTGCGATTTTCAAGCCGCAGCTGCCGCGGACCAGGGGGGAATCGAACCCGCGACCGTGGGATTGCGAAAGCAGGCGCGCAAACCACGAGACAACTTCCAAAGGCCGTTTCGCGCGCAAGAAATTCGCACGGGACCACAGCGAGAGCGCTGAAAACGGATCGTGAGTACCTCATCGCACCCATTATTTTGCACAGCCCATCTTTCGAAGTGATTATAACCACATCAAAGCAGGTATTCCGATAAGCGGCGCAATGGAATGTTCATTCAATTGTTTTATATATGAACCAGGCATGGGCTGGGTATTGGCAATCTTCCGCATATGGCGCGCTGCCGTGGGGGGGAGGGAGCTCCCCGAAACCCCAACATCAAGGTGTGCCGCACCGAGAGCCGGGTTAGGCAGTGCCAATCAAGAATCCTTCGATTCTCAGTATGAGACATATCTAGGCTTAGTTTGCAACGAATGAAATTCGCTTCTTACAAATTTCTCAGAGCGCGCCTGGCAATGGAAACCGAGAACCCGATAACCCGAGAGTCCAAGAACCCGAGAATCCGAGAACTCGAGAACCCGATAACCCGAGAATCCAAGAATCCGAGAATGAGAGAACCCGGTGACCAAGAATCCGAGAACCCGAAAATTCGAGAATTCGAGAGCGCGAGAACCCAAGAACGAGCGCCCGAGAATGCGAGAAATCGAGAAGTCGAGAATCCGAGAATCTGAGCCAAGAGCTGGAGAGCCTGACAATTCGAGAACCCAAGAATGCAAGAAGTCGAGAACCCGAGAGCTCGAGAATCTGACAAGCCGAGAACCTGAGAACCGCATGCAAAAAAGAACCCGAGAACCGCGCGCAAAGCTTTGCCACTGACCGCTTCTGAGTGACCTGCTTGAACAGCATTGTGGCTGTTGCAACAAACACAAGAGTTGGCGGAAGTCTGATCAAGTGCCTGGCAGGCTCAGGCAGATCGTCTTTGAAGAAGAGTAGGGCTTGGCGAAGGCGCTAAATCGCAAATTTAAAGTACAATCCCGGAATCAAAAGCTTGAATGCGCCCAATGTAATACATGAGGTTAATCAACCAAGCCACTACATTGATTAGAGTTAAATACTGAATATGCTAAAGTCAAACGCCGGCCGTGTTCATGTGGCAGAAACACGCATGCAACGCATTCATGACGCAAGCGCTGAAGAAGAAAGTTGGGTGGAAAATGTCAAGACTAGATGGGGTAGAGTTTTCACACCCGAGGAAAGGAGGAGCAAGGAATACATAAGAATAGGTTTAACATCACTTCAAACAAAACAAAAACAGTAAGTTCCGGTTGCATATGACCGACGAAAGGAATTTCACAAACGAAGTAGGAACACAATTGTATGTTTAGTAAGAACATTGAAGTACTGACTGAACTCGTTAAGACTATTGGTGAGCAGCTAAAATCAAGTCCGTAACAAAGACGATGAACACGCCTCGCCAGAGGCTCGCGCGCTACGCGAAAAATTGCAAAATGTTTGAGAGTCGTGGCACGGGCAGGCCTCAAGCAAATTATGAAACAAAGCAAAAGAAACACTGTCAAATAGGGGTAACCCCAAACAACCAAAACAACAAGCACTACGCTCAGAACTGCACACACGCCAGCCAAAGGGTGCGAACACCTTTCTAGCGCACCCGCTCAACACTGGACACACGCCTGCCAAACGATAAGAACACCTGCACGCGCTCGACATCATGCCTGTGCCAGAGCATGCGCGCATGCCCGCCAAAGAAGAGAGCAGCCGGTCGGTGCACCAACTCAGCACTGCACACCTCACACATGCCAGCCACAGAGCATGAACACCTTTCTGGCGCACCGGCTCAGCAATGGACACACGCCTGCCAAACGATAAGAACAGTTGCGCGAGCGCCGAAAACTGCACATGCTGCCAGCCAAATGGTAAGAACACAGTGCACCCGCTCAACGCTGCACATGCCCGCCAACACACGCACGCCCGCTCGAGAGCACTCGTTTTCAGCGCTGCACAGGCCCGCTTCGTATTTGAGCAACCTTTTGTCATGTTACACAGGAAGGCATAATTGCGCAGTATTATTTCATGCGTTTTAGAGTGCTCGGGGCTCGCTAACGGTGTATTCACACTGAACACGGGGACGCGGAATGCAAACTCATTATTCTCAATGCTTTTTGGTTGAGCGATGGATGGGTTCTAGATCCCATGCAACTTTCTGCAAGGCAAAGTGAGTATGGACAACACTGCAACGTGCGTCGTGTCATTTGCTGTGCGTCCAAGACAAGGGACAGCTACACCGAACTGTTTGTCAGATCAGGCCAATTCCCAAGACGCAGTTGGAACGTGGAACGACAACACGTAGCGCGCAGAACGTATTGGCGTATTGACTCAGCTGTGTGAGTTCAAGCGCCGTGCTCTCATGTCCTGATGTTTGGGTATGGGGGGGGCCCTGCGCCCTTCCCGGGCCCGGGCGGAGCGCCGTCTTTCGCGCTGGGGCCTCGCCAAGCATCCTCATGCGATCCTGAGATTTGAATGACATGTTTGAGATGCTACAATGTTTTGTGTGCTGTTTGCATGTCGCATTTGAGGTCTTCTGGGCCTACGCCGTACCAGCGGCCACCTCTTGGCACCCATGCGGGCTAGCCGAGGGGACCACATGCTGCCAGTTGCACGCACGTCATTGACACTTTCCCGTTCAGTGCAGGTACTGTGCTTACGGGCACCGTGAAGAGTTACAGTGCGAAGGGTTTTGGCTTCATTCTTTGCACGCTTCTCAGACGACTTCCGAGCTGCACACTTGCTCCTATGACGAATCACTTGCATCCGGTGCCAGGCAATGATGTAGATCATGACGTGTACTTTGCACGTGAGAGTTTGCAAGATGGTTTGAGGTCCGTGCCCCTGTTTTGTTGGCAGTTGTGTCAGCAGTTGGTTTGGCAGGACAGCCAACATAGCTGGAACAGTCGTGCAATTTGTTCTGCAACGGGGTCTGCATGGCAAGCCGCAGGCGAGATATTTGGGTTTGCATGCCAGCATGAAGTGGCTGACCTTGCCTGCGAAGGCAACGTGTCTGCGACCTGTTGATGGGCAAATTGCACCGATGGCCTACAACAGAGGCTGGTATGCTTTGGTGCCAGGTGTGGCAACATGAGCAGTTGCAGATTTATTCAGGATACACGCCAGAGCCGGTTCTGCTGGCATGTAAAGAGAGATGGGTGGTGTCAATTTGGCATTGCCTCGGACTTGGTGAATTTGGGAAGTGCCAGGGTGGTGGCAGCAAAGGTGTGGCCAAGGGAGTTTTCTCTTCGCCACCTGTCGCATTCACATCCTTCACTCCGCCGCCGCAAGCGCCAGGAGCAAAAGAGACCGATTCCGAATTTCGTGCTGCATTCGTTTCCGTGAGACACCTGTCTTGCTCGTTTCTCGTTTCGTGTTTGTTTGAATAGGTGAGAGGGAATGAGACCCCGAGACGCCGCCTCCGTGAATTGAAGCCTTGAAGATGTCTCCATGCGGCACCGCTTCAAGATTGCGGGGCTAGCGGCCGCAGTCCCGTGCAAACTTGTTCGTAGGTTGTACTTGCCTTCATTGCCCGCAATGTTTGGGTCGCTTCAGGCTGAGCACTTTCGTCTTGAAAAATGTTCCGGGAACCTGAAGAACCTGAACGTTTACCAGCTTTGTAGCAAATTGATCGCTCTTGAGGCAGGCGCTGCAACTTGAGTTGGGCCAACTCGACCTCTTGCCGAATTTTTTCCCCAGTGCCTTGGGCCTTGGGGGTGCTAAGTGAAACAAGAACACACGGACACCTTTTTGCAATTGGCAAAACGAAGTGCGACGCAAACGGATCGTTGCAACGTGCGAGGAATGGGCTGGTCACCGATGCCGCGGCCTCCCATGGCGCCGGCGTGTCTCGGGTGAATGGTCTGGGCTTGCGGCTCCTTGTGGCTCCTTGCGGCTTGCCGTGCTCTTTGGCGTGTCGCTGTGCGCGCTTCGCTTGAAGGCCAAAGCGGCTGTCGCCCCACGCAGGCTCGGCCGTGATATTTGCGCAAGAGGCCCTGGCTTCGCGCCCGCTTTCTCCAGGCTCCCGAGCAATCGCAGGAAGGCCACCCAAGGCCGCAGAGGAGAAATCCAAGTCGAAGTCGGAAAGTCCTCCCGGCGCAGTTTCGCGCTTTGCGCTGTTGCACGTGCTTTGCACTGTAGCTGGGACTTCAAAGCACTCAAATACGAAAAAGGTCCGCAAACCTCAAAGCAAGCAGACAGGCACCCACACCGGGGATGGACGTGTCGTAAGTGCCAGCACTGGCAACACCAAGCAAGTGGACGGTTGATCCATGGCAAAAGCAAAAAACAACTCGAAGAAGCCAAGAAGCAAGCCGAAAAGCCAAGAAGCCAAACGCGAAAAAAAATCGGAAAAAAAGAAAAAACGAAGAAAAAAAACAACATAACATAAATACCCCTGCAAACTACAACGGAGGACCTGCACCAATGGACGTTGACAACATTTCGAGAAAAGGAAGAATCTGCAAAGGGAAAGGAAAAGGCAAAGGTCACTACAAAGAAATCAAAGGCAAAGGCAAAGGATACTACAAAGGATTTGACAAAGGAAGAAAGGAAACTACAACGAAGGAGGATACAACAAAAGCAAAGGAAAAGGCTAATCCAAAGGCTATGGATCAGGCAAAGGCTACAAAGGCCAAGGAAACTACAGCAAATCAAAAGGAAAAGGAAGCAACAACTACATGACATGCCACAGATTTGGCAAACCTGGCCATTGGGAAAAGGACTGCAGAGTGCCTGTGTGGCACATAGGAAAAAAAGAACTGCATCCGCCAGACGAAGAACAAGCAGATCAGAACTACCTCAGGATCTGAAACTACAAAGGAGAAGAAGGACATTGACACGTGAACTACATGGACGAGAGTTGGAATGACTACGACTACAACAACAACATTCCAGGCTGTGACTGTCCTTTACCCAGCGGCCTGGTTTGCCACACCTGCGGCACGTCATGTAGTAAGTTGTTGTCGGTTCTGATTCCTTTTGCCTTCCTAGTTTCTTCCTTCCCCGATTCGTTGCCAACGTCCATTGTGGCCATTGTCGTTTGCACCAACTTGTTTTAGATAGAAATATATATATATATACTTATATATTCATTTACTTATTTATTTATTTACTTATTTATTTATACGTATATGGCTTAGGCGGTTTCTTGATTTTTGATCTTTGACATGCCAGACCCAGAAAATCAACAAAAACCCGAGAAAACCAAATGACAATACAAACAAAGATGCAAAATCCAAGGGTTGTGGTCTGCATTTTTGGGGCTTTGGCTTCTTGGCTTCTTGGCTTCTTGGCTTCTTGGCTTCTTGGCTTCTTGGCTTCTTGGCTTCTTGGCTTCTTGGCTTTTGGGCTTCTTGTTGGTTTACGCGGGTTTTGGTGGCTTTTTGGCTTTGGCTTTTTGCTTCCTCTGCATTCCTAGTTCAAACCAGGTGGCGTTTGCAGCTTTTTGCTGGGTTATGCGGCTTTTGGTGGCTTTGGCTCTTCGCATCCTCTGCTTTCCCAGTTCCCCTCCGCTTGATTGCTTTTTGGCTGTGGCATCCTCAGCATCACCAGTCCCTCCCCATTTGAATCATCACTTCTTCGAACATCATGGGGGGGGCTGCCGCCCCCCCCCCAACCCCCCGCACCTTTTTGGACCCGCTGCTTTCTATATTCTATCGCACCCTTTCTTGAATCATTGCACCCTTATTTGAATCATCACTTCTTCGAACATCATGGGGGGGGCCGCCGCCCCCCCCCCCCCCCCCCCAACCCCCCCGCTACTTTTCAGAATTTCTGCAGAGATTTAACTGCGCCCCAGGTTGAATCATCACTTCCTCGAACATCATGGGGCGGGCTGCCGCCCCCCCAACCCCCCGCTGCTTTTTGGAATTTTTGCAGAGATTTAATTGACACTATTCGAATCATCACTTCTGCAAACATCATGGGGGCTGCCGCCCCCTCCCCCGCAACAAAAATAGTATAAGGAGAAGTTCAAGGAATTCTCAATATATCATTTGTTCTCCAACAGCAACACAACAAACAGTAAACACAAACCAGGACAACGCAACAAAATAGTTAAGAACAACCAACAACCAAACTATTTAACCACAGCATACAACATTTAGTAAATCAAAGAAGCATACCATCAAAACAGCAAAACTCAAAACCATCAAAGACACTCAACTCAAAAACGCACCAAAAAGGAAGCAAAGCAGCACACCAACAAAATAAAACAAAGCAGTATCAAACAAAACAAAATCAAACAGTCAAAGCGCGAAAAACTGAAGAAACATACCAAGTCCAAACAACGCACTTTGAAAGAGAAGCAAATTAGAAAAATACAATAATTAGCAAAATGAAAATATTTTATAGAGTATAAGTATACTATAATGAAAGGCTGTAAAGTTTCTTTGCAATGTTGATTCATAGTACAATTAAATTTCTTTAAATAAGCAGTTCTAATGTTTATGCAAATTAAATTTCATCAACTATATGATTAGAATAACTTATCAGCCCTTTTCTACAACAATAATGTTCATATCCTTATTAATTGTCCTTTGTAAATTTCAGTTAAATCGCTTAATATATTTCTCACACACTATATTCCCACCAATTATTTAAATTTGGAATAACCCGAATAATTAGAACTGTTTTAACTTCACCAAGATATTTTTTGCATATGATTTAATCGCTTGATAATACATTTTCCTATTTGTAAATCGCTCTTGTACTTCCTCTTTACCAAATAATATACCTTGTTGTTTTTATTAAAACATGTAGAAAAGCAAACATTGTAATTCTATCTTCTTTAACCCTTCTTCAGGTAGATCATTATGTTTCATAAACATATTTTCTTTTTCTTGCAAAAAGCAACATTTGTCACATTGTAAAGTATTATTATAGTCACACACAAGATTACAAATATTAACGGGTAAGTCATTTGCTAATGCTACAGCAGTTTTACATTTCATATTTTGCAAGGACAATTGCTATAATTAAACAGTGTCATTTTCCTCTTAATATATTAGGTTATTATTTCTTTGAGTTATTTTTTCAGTCATTAAGGAAAATTAGGAAAATTAAGACAATCTTTGCAAACGATAAGTATGTTATAATTATAACATATAAGACTTTACATGTTATCATTACACTATGAGTTCAGTGGATTAACTCATTTAAATGTTTCTTTAATTCTTTTCATTCTTTTATTAACTGTTATTTTCTATTTGTTTTTTAAACCATCCCATTGTTCTTTTGCGCTTTTTACTGTATATTCAAGTTCATGTGCGCTATATTCACAAGGTAAAAAAATCAAAGTCATTATCATTCAATGCTTCATTTTTACACGTTCAAAATTAAAAGACACACCGTATAATCTTTTTACTAGATGATAATACTTAAAAATACAATCATTATCATTTCCTTCGTCATCAACAGTGTATAATAGATTATCAAACTTGTTCGCTTCAATAAACACAAATATTTCTCAGTCTTCATCAAGTGTCTTAACATTGCTAATGTCAACATAAAAAGATCTTTGTTTTTCATATCAGCAATTTTGTTTCTAATTGTATTACAACTATTGTTTCAAAGCCAGTTATAACACCGTGTTTAACTGTTAGTTTAGGCATCTCACAGGGTTTGCATCTGTAATTCATTAACTTTTGTTTCAAAATTTGTTTAGCATCAAGACCGACACTTCTCGTCCACACTGCTGAGCAACACTTCCGACCGACACTTTCGAGCAACACTTCTGATTCGACACTGCTGATCAGCACTTCCGAGCAACACTTCTGAGCAAACACACTCACACATGTAAGCGACGCTTTTGAGCGACACTTCAATTCGAGCAACATTTCTACACACACACATCTCAGCGACATGAGCGACGCTCGTTAGCGACACTTCTGAGCGACGCCTCCGAGCAATGAGCGATACCCCTGAGCAACACTTCTTGAGCACACTTCTGATCGAAACTTCTGAGCAACAGTTCTGTTCGACACTTCTGAGCGACACTTCTGAGCAACACTGTTGACTGACACTCTGAACCACACTTCTGACTGACACTTCTGAGCAACACGTCTGACCCACACTTCTGATCTGATCAACAGTTCTAGTTCTGAGCAGCACTTCTGATCCACACTTCGACACTTCCCAGCAACACATCTGCCGACACTTCCGACCGATACTTCTGAGAGACACTTTTGATCGACACTTCTAATCGACACTTCTGAACGACACTTCTAATGGACACTTGTGATCGACACTTCTGAACGACACTTCCGTCTCCAAATGCGCACCGCGCCACAGCGAGACCACCCAAAGTGCGCAGAAGGTTCACTTTGCGCGCTCAAAATGCGCACCGCGCCACAGCGAGAGCGATTCGACCCACCCAAAGTGCGCCGAGGGTTCACTTCGCATGCTCAAAATGCGCACCGCGCCACAGCGAGAGCGATTTGACCCACCCAAAGCGCGCAAAGGGTTCGCTTCGCATAACGATCTGACCCACCCAAAGTGCGCAGAGGGTTCGCTTCGCGTTCGCAAATGTGCACCCGCCACAGCGAGAGCGATTTGACCCACCCAAAGTGCGCAGAGGGTTCGCTTCGCGTTCTCAAAATGTGCACCGCGCCGATGAGGATTGCAGTCATTATGTGTACATGTAAAGTTTGACCTGACTTACTTATAATCAAAAAAGTAACCATAATGGCAAGTCCTGTTTTTGCAAGTCTTGTAATCATGGAGTCAGAAATGAAGAATTTTGAATAAACATTATGATAGTGGATGCATGTAAGTTGAAGGACAACAAATAGTAGTGCCTAATACTTATGAGGAAATGAGTTTTAAGCATCACTTCAGAAAGTTGTGATGTCCTTTTGTTGTTTGTGCCGATTTTGAATGTTTAACTGAAGAAGTTGATAAGCCAACAGATGAAAGTATTGAAACTTGTAACTATCAAGAACATAAACCATGCGGTTTCATTATTAATATGGTTAATGCTGTTGATAATACAAGTTATGAGTTTATGTATCGTGGTAAAGATGCTGTTGATGTGTTTTGTCAAAAACTTAATGAGAGTAGAGAAGAGATAAAGACTACAATGAAAG